TCGGCGCTTTGCGGCGGGCCCGGCGCCATGGGCCGGGCAAGCGTGTTCCATGTGCCGATGGTGCTCGTCCCAGGGAGACCCGCCTAGGGGTACCCCACTTCAGGGCGGGCTCCTTTCTCCCGTAGAGGACGCGGTTAAAGACCACGGGTTGGGCTTCGAGAGTGCGCCCGTATAGGTAGGCAAGGGAGGCGATGACGATAGCCACGATCGTAGCCCACGCCGGGAGTGCGATAACGGTGGTAGCGTCCATTCTGTTGCGGGTGTAGGGGGATCGCTTAGATTCTGTCAGACTGCGGGTCGGGCCGTGCAAGGACTTCTCCTAAGAACGTGCGCCCGGAACAGAACAGACGAATAGTCGGGCCCGCAAGTATGGCGGGCGGGGTAGATCGAAACCGAAAGGGCCCGTGAACTCGGTCCCTTGCCGTAGTCGGTGGTCGAAGGTTCGAATCGGGTCGTGTCGGGCCCGATGAGTCGATAGCGTCTCCTCGCACGGAGTAAGGTAGTTCTTTAGACGATCTAAGCGATAGAGTACAGGGTACACTATCGCGCATTATATACGCGGGCCCGCAAAGGGGGTGATCGGACACCCTGGCCTCTCCTCCTCCTCCTCGCTCCCGTTCCTGGCCGCAGAGGGGACGATCGCACATCCCTTGCGGGCCAGGCGCTACTCCTGACCTCCTAGCACTCCTCCCCATTCCCCTGGTGTCGAGTTGGGCTCGGCGACGGCTCGACGTCGTTCTCGGTCACGTGCTTCCCACGTGTGCGTTCCTCCTACTGGGGCGCATGTTCCCCGTCGTCACGTGCTGCGTGTTGCGGGCCCGCAATGGCCCGACACCAGCGCCCGGAGCGGACGGGCCGGGTCTTATCCGTGACACGAAGGTTGCTTGTCCTGGCTGCTGGGGAACTTGTTGCGGGAGTGCGACTGGTTTGGTGCGCGCAGAGCACAAGAATAACTCCACAGCTTGCCGGTCCGAAGAGGACAGCTGGGCGAGAATCGTTGCCCCAAGAGTTTCCATTTCGTTAGGAGCTTTACTTGGAGGTCGACGTGCATCAAGAGCTGCGAGGACACGACTTCGTTTTGAGGGCGCTGCTTGGGAAGCCATGTACTTCCACTATTCACTCACAACTGACCTTTTATAGATCGTGTCGGTCAAAGCACAAACAATTGTCTCTTGCTCGTTGTACCATTGTGACCTATTCTGCAAACCATCTCTTGCCCCCATGTCTCCTCCACCAACACCCAAGGCATTTCTTCGCAGCATCATTCCTTCGCCACCACCAGAGTTTACTGCTTGTAAGGCGGACTACGAGCACCACCTCAACTTCAATCAAGGGCAAACGCAGAAAACCCGAGACAAGATTGGCCAGTACACCACCTTTGTAAGTCCATGTTGATTCGGAGACTTGTCCTCAACACTTCTCTAGTGTCCTGGTCGTGTTGGCTGTACTTCACGTGCAACAGCACTGTTTCCAAGTGACATCCGCCACGATCTCCATGAACTCGACAGCCAATATCGGTCACTATATCGAGATGTGGCACAACCTCAGTTTGACCACGAGGCATTTCGGAAACTCAAGAAATCAGGCGCTGCATTAAAGGAAACAATCAAGGAATGGCAAGCAAATCGTCAAGAGCCTCCCGTCGTCCGGGCTACAAGTACGTGCACCAATCTAGCCGCTCAAACTTTTGCCTCTGATGCACTTGCTCAGGAAAGCGAAAGTTTGACGATCTTACACCGAGTCAAAGCGCAGCAGTCTTAGAGCAAGATTGCTTTGACCCAACAGTGTTTATCATCAACCCCGCCCACTGTATGGGATTTTACGCTCTCACTTCATAAGTGCTTAACACGTTGTTCAGATCGTAGAATCGATGTCATTATCCTCGATGGCGGTCCCAGTCTATCAAAAAATTCCCTCGAGCTTCGCCATGCTGGGAACGTCTGCCTCGGAGATTTTCAATTTGCGCAGGAGTATTTGGACGGGCCAGTCTCTTATGATTGGTTCTGTGTCGTGGGGGGGGGGGAATTTATGCCAGGGGCCTTCACTACTCATATCAATCTGCTCGACCGAGGAGATCAACTTATTTGTCGCCCGCGCAGATGTTCTAAACGATGAGTGTGAACCCTCTCTCGTTGCCTACTGGCCTTATATCAATCACTTATTCCACTTGCAAGAGTAAAAGCCACCATTATCGATTTAACCTTAGAATAAGTTCTGTACCACATTGTAAATAACGCATAATTTCTTCTACTCGTTTAAATTGTCGTCGACATAAATAGGATTCATCTTATTCCCTGGCGGCAGCAGATTTAAGTCTGTTTATATCGTAAATGGACGCTGGTTGAAATGGGCATGCATACCATGAGCCATCCGAACTACGGAGCGCATTGCGCGATATAATTGCCATTCCAACCCGACACAGTTGCTCGCATCCACAGAGTGAGCGAAAGACCATAAACTGACCATAACGTGTCAGATTCATCAGTCGAAGATAAGCGTTCCCCTTCCATCGACGATGCAATGTGTCGTAAAATACATATTGTTGGTTTGGTCGACCATCTTGGGTTACAGCGCCAATGGCCTCGAGAAGCGGCCTCGGGAGGATACCCAGTCTGAAAGCCTTGAGGCAGCGCACTTGAACCGTCACTTCGATGGGTTCTACGTGATCTTCAAGATAGAAAGTGAGATAGCATTCACGAGCTGTAACATGGTCAGTTAGCGGAAACAAGCAACAAAAACCACTTGCTTTGAGTTGGCATAATCTCGTAGACATCACTGTCATACTCGTCCTTCACTGAAAGCTGGCATTAGCAATGAAGCGACAGAGATAGAGAAAAGTACAACCACTCACAAGCTTCAAGGGTGACCTCTTCATCGCCATATGGTGCTGCGTCAGAAACGACAGATATCATATCGGCATCATCTTCATTATTGAGGTTATTGTTCGGTTGGTCCATGCTTGATTCGTTTTTCCTGTTGGTATGTTCAGTTAGCTCTTATATACTGAGGCAACGCTTGGGCCTAATCTGCGCGCTTGGGTCTTGCCCTGAACTGGTCTAAACAATTGAGGTCGACGCTGCAGTTCCAAGCGATGGTGAGCCTATAAACGTGAGTACCACCCATCTATTTCCAACCACACCATGTCCGCTTTCGAAAACGCTTACCACTTTGACATCCTTCCCGAACTGATTGACCATCCCATGTATGCTGCTGCAAAGGCTGCTCACGAGACTTTGTCGCCTGCAGAGCAGCGCATCATCCAGGCACTCTCAGAGCTTCCCCAAGAGCCTATCGAGTTTCCAGAGTATCGCAAGCACTTCGTTGCGATATGGTGTCAGGTGTGTGAAGCGCTCTGACTTTTGGTATTGCTGAAGATTGTGATTAGGATGGCGAATTCCCAGCACGAATGCTACTCGAGATGGAGCCATGTGGAGTCCGCCTATCGTTCCACAGGAACACCGTAATATTGCTTGAGAAGGGCCTGCGTCAAGGGACAGCACTTCGACGATATGTTGATGGCAAGTGGGTGCCAGTGAGTTGGAACGAGCCGATGCGCGTGGTCAAGGGTGAAGCTTTAGGCTTGCGAGTCAGGGGGGTTACGCAGCTGAGCGACTGGTATAATAACATGTATGCGTTTGAGTAAATATCTGTACACACTTGCGTAGAAGTCACGCGCACGTGACTTCTACGCAAAAAAAGTTCTCCAATGACGACGACCATACTTGATGCTGGCCTGCGCTCATACCACGCCAGCGCCACACTGGTAGACGATGCAGAGTAGAGCTGTGATGGTGTATTGCAGATGATGCGCAGATACAAGGTGCGTGAAAGGCTACACATACCTTCCCATTTTTTCTGACTATATCCGTTGCAGGTGTTTTGTCGACTTGTTTCAGCCACTCCAAACAAGTCATGCACCGTTCTGCAACACATCCTCCAACTACGATCGTCCTCTTGGCTTTGCTGGACGAGCAAAAGTAGGACTTGGGTGCTTCTCCTCCGAAACAGCCATCTGCTGATGCAGCAAAGAGCTCCGCAATGGTCGCTCGTGTCGGAGGCCACAGTTGTGGATATATTGTGTGAGTTTCGTCAACCACCGCCCACTCCCAGTCCATATTCTATTTGTGAGGAACCAACCTGACTGTCCCCTACTTGAGAGGACCCACGTTCTGCGTGTGGTCATTCCTGGAGGATGACTGTGAGGACCCGGCTTCGAGGCCCGAAGTCCGTGGTCGCACAGTTTTGTGTTTTACTGCTGAAAACCGGGTGCGTTGATTGTTTCTGCTCGCAAACTCAAGCTTACTTCAGCGTTCTTATCGTCTAGATGGACACATCCACCCCCGCGACTCTGCGAGCAACCCTCACATTCGATTTCGCCCGACCCAGTCGATCTTTCCATACTGCATTCCACACTACGTCCATGCGGAGCTTCTGGCGTAGTGCTCGGCGGAGACGGAAGACAAGGAGACTCGACTTGTACCAATCACATATTTGCTCGCTCGGGCACCCTTCCGTCGGTGTCCGTTGCATTTTCCTCCGCTCTGGAAGACGGTCCACCAACCCCGAATGTCACGTGTCTCGATTGCTGGCGCGACCGTCACGCCCAATCCTTCATTTGCCACCTTACGCATGTCTCACCTCTCGACAGTCTGCAGTGCTTTCTGGTGCCTGGACCAGCTCAAGCACCTTGTCCCAAGCACCAGGTCAAGTACCTTGTCCCAAGCGCAAACTTGTTCCAAGCGCAAGCCTGAGTGAGCGATTGTCAATGGACGGTCAAACCTTTGTGCTCTCAGGGCACTATAAAGTCCCTCCCATGCTCTGGCCTCAACAATACCACCCATGTCTGCGAACGATACCAACGAGGACAGCCGCCCGCTCTACACCATCATCCGAAAGACGAAGGGCACAACCGACAGCGAGCGCCGCCTCCCGGGAGAGGGCCGACACCATCTTCAATTATGTCAAGAGCACTAGCTTCACTCAAGTAGTTGAATGGGAGAATGCGGGAAGTAAACATCCTAACCCTGCGGTATGTTTACTTCCCTCGTCGTAATCTCGGTCTAACATTATCCAGATTACCAAGAAGATGGATCGCAAAGATTATATCGACACGGTTATCTATCCCGACCTGGACTGCCGGTTCGAAATTAGCGGGCCAAACGGCTTTCGAATCTCAAACTTTCTCCAAGTAAGTGATGCCCGGTTGTCTTACTTCCCCCTTATCGCTTACTAGGCATTGCACAAAACTATCAACAACTTTATTCGAGAGGCTCGCAAGAACAACGGGTATCTCCCCGGGATGCAACCTGAAGTCGACGAGGGCCACACAACGACGCCTGCCTCAACGACTGTTGTTCCTCGTGTCAACCGTCTACCTGCCCGTATTTGCGCGTCCTGCTACGCGCCCGAAAATGAGTGTTCGCCGCATATTCGAGGAAGATCAAAAGACCGAAATTGAGAGGCTGACGAATGCGAAACTCGAGGGACAGGAGCGGGCGCACCGAGATGGAAAGGACTTGAAAGCACGGGCAGAGGCAGTGACAGAGCTATGGACTAATTGCGACAACAAAGAAGAATATGAGAAGCGTGCTGCTGAGGAGAATGCAGTGCGTGAAGCAGAGCTTACGCCCGAGCAACTAAGTCTGTGCGTTTTTTCTCCCTATTTCTTCAACAGCAACTAAGAAACATTCAGCAATCAATCGGAGTTTGGGCGTGAGCTCTCGACTGTTGTTGCCAGCTACTTTGGCAAGCATGGCAAGCAGATTGGTGATGCCATTTTTTGTTTGCGCGTTACGCGTTCGTGGACCCCAAGACTAACCAAATTGGATTCAAGAAGTGAGTGGCAATTCCTTCGTGTTAACACTATGCTTATGGGGACAAGAATTACGGTCAACGGCTTCAGCGACGAAAAGTTTGGCGGAACAACAGAGGAGTTCGAAGCTTGGAAGACTTATGCAATGCATACTCTACAACCTGGTAGGTTCCATTTTCGACTCTGACCATACAAATCAAATCATACTTACTAATTCGTAGCAGTCTCACCGGCCTTGACTCCACAAAGTTCGCCGCCGCTTCTACCACCCATGCAAGCAGTACCTCCCCCCACCTCCACCTCCCGTTTTACCCCCGCCTCCGCCTGCACCTCCTGTTGTCCCACCGCCTCTTCCTGTGCCTCCCGTTCTCCCCCCCGCCTCCACTTATCTTCCATGCTGTGCCGGCCGGGAGCACAAACAACCCTGCACGGGTTGTGCCAATTGTGGGAACGACACAACCAGTTCCGCCGCTGCCTCCCATTCAGCCAGAACTCGCCAATCCTAATGGTCTTCTGCCTCCCGTCATCAACCCTTTACCACTACCACCTACATCACCGTCCATTCTATCCAAGACACCCAACACTACCAAGGTTTTGAAGAAGCGTCCCGCGAAGGCGAAGAAATTACCCCCAGACCACCCAAAAAACCAAAGAAGGCTCCGACAAAGGCCAAGGCCCAGCCAGTGGCTCAGGCTATATCTCCTCGTAAAACTCGAAGTCGCGGCCCTGCGTTGGTGTCAACGAAACCAAAGAAGGATCCTTTACTTAGTTGGGGGGTAACTTTGACAAAGGATGGTGTATCGAGGAAATATTCAGGCCGAGAGTACGCAAACACATTTCCAGCCGAGTTTCGTGAGAGGTATCCGGAGGAGGTGCAATGGCTAGTTTGGCCTGACCTGGAGTAGATTACTTGCCATCTTGTGCTATATCGACCACAATTAACGACTTATTTCACCTTAATGTGCTCGTGCTTGGTCACGGGCGCAGATACTTCTTGTCTCAAACCTCGGTGGCAAGATCATACTCAAGTGAGTAGCTCAGCAATTCTGTTGTGCCTCCCTTTGCTCATTGTCATTGAGAAGGATTGTCTCTAGCATGCAGCTGGGCTTGAGCTGGCAGCTTGGAACGTTCATAATCCACGACATAATCTTCATGCTAATCTCGAGATAATCCGACATAATCTTCATAATAATCCACGACATAATCTTGACGGTAATCGTAATGCAGCATAATCCCCAATAATCCGAAATATAATCTCCGCACTAATCCTCCCTGCCAGCAGTCGTCAAAACCTTTCTCAGCCTTGATCTTCCGGGGATTAATCCTAGGTCAACCAGCTCAGTACACTGCAGATAGATTAATCCTTCCCTACATGTAGGTATAATCGTGTCGTAGAACATAGCTAGGATTATCCCTCTCTGCCTCGCAAAGATTAATCGCCATCACTGAGGAGACTGGGAGAGCTCTAGGGTGGAGCAAGAGGGATCCACTGGCAGTGCTTCTCCAAGCCTTGCGGACGAATATGCTATCCAGGATATAAAGCGGTCCATGCTCAAATCCTTGATCATTTCCTGGGTATTGATGGCAACTGGACGTATCTGCAGAATATCACAATTGAGGTCAAGGAAATGGAAATCATTCCAGTGGAACTTGAATATAGTAAGGTATAGCCAATATCGTGTTGGTGCCGCCGGATATATTTCAAGTGTTACGCAACGCAGTGAGCAGCACATCCAAAGAGTGAACATGCTGGACCTCTGATGGTGGAGCTTCAGCTAGGTTAACACATGAAGCGGCACACACACCATAGTTTTGAGGCCCATTCTTAGCGCAAAGTAGCAAGCAAGTATCTGTTTTCTGTAAAATGAAAAACAGTGGTCCAATTTGCAATTGAGCACCTTACATGGAAGCTTTGATCTTGGCATAGGATTAGTTAATATATCGACTAGCCATAGACATGCGACGCACAATATAGTATTCATAGTAAAGTGTAGCAAAGGTAGATCTTTCTTGAAACATTTGTTCCAGTGGAATGAGGTCTGGGAAATGGATCATCCGAAGGAACATCGCATCATGACAGTACCATACGCTTACTATCGTGAAATACCGCGACATAGTATGGCGCTTGAAACGGGGGAAAAATTCCCCCAGGAGAGAAACCTGTATCTGAGAACTTACCTGTTGCAATCCGAGAACTTTCGTCATTTTATATGACAATGTCTCGGAAGACTGAGTCCCGAGAACTTGAACCCTCCGACGGCTCGGCATTCTGAGACATGGGAGTGACTCCTGACAACTTGTTGCTTCCGACAACTCAGTAATGTCGAAGATTTGACCATAGGCGCTGGCATCGCAGAATAGACAAGGTATTTCTCAGCAGCCTCAGCCATGCCCGCACAGACCGCAAACGGCAGCGCGTCGAGGCTGGGTTGCGGCTGGCGGTACATGTACTGGCACAACAGCTCCAGTACGGCCGATTGCTCCGAGTCTCCGACAAGCCGTCCGTCTCCTCGACTTTGTTTGTCGCCGCCTCGAACATGTCGCCGAACACCTCTGAGTGCACCTCCAGGTTCTTGCGGTGGACCGTGAAGAGCACGGTTGTCCGCCGCGCAAAACGTCAGGTCAGCATCGGCCGAAGAGACTATTTTAAGTATTGTAGTCAAATGCATATGACAATGACGGGGGAGAGAAGAGAGGGTGGTTCAAAGGAGATCGCCGTGTTCGCTTGGGGCATCTTGGGACTTGAAGCTGAGGAGATGGTGGCCAAGATGAAAAACGTGGGCGGTGCCGCGGTATGACTCCCTCAGGCTGAGCATAGGGGGGAAGACTCAAGACTGAGCAGACACGCACCTTGCCAGCCCTCCCTTAACGAGTCCCGTCTACCACCGCTCCGGTCCTCCTCCCGGGATCTTGTCCATTCAGCCCCCTACACGTCGTCCAGTCAGCCTACAACGGTAGTAAACCTCAGAGACACAAGATACCTACTGGGCCTAAACCGACACAGTGTCGTATGCACTCTCCGCGGCTATGGCTTCCCGGTCACCAGAGCTGGGCCCTGGCTACAGCCACATTCTCGCTGTCGAGCTGAGGACGATGTGATGCGGAAATCACCCGCCCACAGAGGCTGTAGAGCGGCCACGAGTCCACAGCACGCCACCGCTTCGGAGGTGGTGCCGGCACTGAGAAGAAAATCGATTTCCTTTTTTGGGAACGGCTTGGTTGTTCCCGACCATCACCCAGGAGTATGCCATTTGGTGCGTCTGCCATCGATAAGACCTTTCCCGCGTCGCTCACAGTGTGCAGATGCTCTGTCGCAGGAGCTCGTCGACCTCATCGTTGACCATGTCGTGGTCAGCGCGACATTGAAAGCTTGCGGGCTTGCCGGCAAGAAGCTGCCGTGACACCACTTGCCGCCCGCAGAGGCTTCCAAGCGGCCACGACTCGACACGCCACCGTTTAGGAGGTGATGCCGGCAAGACTCGAATTAAATCGATTTCCTATCTAGCAACGACTTGGTTGCTCCCGACCATCACCAGGAGTATGGAATTTGGTGCGTCTGCCATCGATACTAGACCTTTCCTGCGTCCCTAACAGTGTGCAGATGCTCTGTCGCAAGAGCTCGTCGATCTCATCGTCGACCATGTCGTGGACAGCGCGACATTGAAATCCTGTGCGCTTGCCGCGAAGAAGCTGTGTCCCGCCGCCCAGCGCAACCTATTCTCCTCGCTACAGATCATGGCGCCCGTTAAGCCACCGATGGCGTCCTTGGGCTCGTTCCCCACAATCGCGCAACTCGACAGCATGCTTTCATCTGCGGCACATCTCCCGCCTTACGTCCGCTGTCTCACCTTGTGTGGCGACCCTGAGCGCCAGGTCGTCACGTGGATCCAGTCCGCCGCCCCCGCGGCCCTTATCGCTCGCTTCGACCATCTTACCACCCTGGTGATTGACTGCGAGGTGTTCCAGATGCATCCCACTGGGAATGCCTGGGCGGACCTCGTCCATCTGGCCACCAAGACCGCACTGGCGAGCCGGCTGGCGCTGCCCACTATGCGGACGCTGGCGCTCCGATATCTGCCCCTCGCTGAACTTGTCGAGCTGCTCCAGTTGATTCCAGAACCCTGGGAGCGTCTGTGCATCCAACGCCTGTTCGTCAAGATCCCGGGGCTGCCAATTCACGGGCGGCTTGATTCCCCGCAACTTGATATGCCTGCCAATCTACAAGGGCGCAAGCTTACGCTCGACTCACTCGTGCTGGATGGCCCTCTTGCCCACTTCCCACCGTGGACCTCCGACTTGATCGATGTCTCCGTTCTTCGTCAACTCCACATCGTCGTCCGCCTCGTAGCGGACGAGACATTCGCGCAATCCGTGTTCATGGAGCGTGCGACTGCGCTGGAGCATTTGCACATTGTCCTCAACCAAAATCTTCTCCGCTTCGACCTTGGGCGCCCGGACCTTTTGCCTCCCCTCGCCACCTCCCTCGGGATCGGCGGCCTGCCCAAGCTACGGACGCTCCGACTCCAGTTCGCGCTCTCGACCGAGCTGCGGCTCCTACACCAGGCGCTCGAGTGGGTCCGCAGCGTGCTCTCGTGCATCACACCCCCAGCTCCGTGCGCGGCGCATGCGCCACGTCCTCCTCGACATTACGGTAGCGCTCGCACTGGGGCGGCTCGGGCCAGAGGCACCCGGGTATCCCGACTTCCTCGTCAGGTCCGTCACGCCGTTTCTGTGGCCCTTTTCTCTCCTGGGCAGCACGGAAGGTACCCCTCGCCCCCACACTCACTGTCCGCCTCCACCTGGCTCCCGGCGCGCCGGAGGCTTTTGTTCTGGCCAGATCCGCCTTGCTGGACTTCTTCAAGGACCTGCCGCGGGATGTCGTCGTAGTCAAAGCGGCCTAATTGCGCCGCTGGACAGTTGAAACCGTGCTGCTCTACGGTCAATTTGTTTGTTCTGGAATCTGCATTACTCAACTCAGACTCAGGTTGTTCACGCTTGACGCCGCTTCTCAATCATCGACTTATGTAGTAACCTCCCCTGCCAATCCTGCTCTCCGAGTCGTTGACCGACTGCCATACTTGCTCCAGGGAGAATATATTATGGATATGAATAAATTGAGAAAATTTCGTATTTATAATCATAATTGAACAGCACTACCGCCGATTGCGCTACCTACTAGTAGTACTTAGTATCGATAGTATCCTCCATATGACTGTTCTGCAGCGACTCGCTCCGCGTGCTGTCGAGCAAAAAACTCCGCCACACGCGCCGCCGCCTCCGGGCTGCCGGACGCAACGGGCCGGGCGCCGGGGCTGCCGTCACAGTAGTACGACGGGATGACGCCGGCGCGGATCTGCTCCCAGTGCTCGTCGCACTGCCTGCCTCGGAGTCAGCCCGTGGATGCCCCTAGGAATCGCGACGCACTTGTCCATCTCCTCGGTCGGCGGCGGCTCCTCCATCGGGAGCCGCAGGTGCGCGACCTCGAGGTGGTCGCACCATCACGAAAAGGGGAAAGATGTTGACATCCACTGTGTGGTAGCTGGTAACCCAACACAGGGCTCTCGAGTCTGTGCAAGCCCAGTTTTGCAATTCACATGAAGTCTCAAAAAATAAAATGTCTGATGGACCCACTTGTGAATCTAATACAGGCTGAAGTAAAGTTATAAGCTCTCAGTGCATGTTGCTAGGTATTGCTATTTGTGAAATAGCTTGCAATTCCAAACAAGGATTGCGAGAACTTATCAGCCCTTGCATCGAGTTGCAAGGCCCTTGCAGGTCAGTCCCAGCCTGAGTTATCTCAAATACAACTTATGACCACACCTGAATCCCAATTTGTTAGTCCAAATACAGCTTAGTTCATCTATCTAATACAGAAGTCTATACAGAGCGTCCGAAAACAGTTTTGATGCGATTTGATACACTTGAGAGCATAACTGTAATTGAATTAGCACTGGGTCGTCACCACTGCAAGGACATACCGTTGAGCCGACAGCAGAATAGCGTGCAAAGTTTATAGCTGGCGAAGGAAGCATCAGTAGATGGTGAACACACTGAAGCACACATACCAGAAGGGAAATAGACAGAGAAGCAAACTGCAAGGTAAGTTAGCGGAGGACCGATGATATCTAGATATATACCCAGCCAGTTAATTGGGAGCAGCCGCAGCCGCAGCACGTCGCGCCACGAATCACACGGAGGCCAGCGGGGCCATCCTCGCCTTCCGAGTCATCATCGGGGGCAGATACGGTGTTGCGCCAACGCCAAATGTATTGCTGTCGGAGGTCAGTCAGATTGGGTCCGAGAAGACGAAACTACGAACCTCTGCCACCAGCCTAACGTCTCCTCCGCCCATACACGACCCTCGGGTGTTTCCTCCTCGAACAGCGAAACAATGGTCTTGAACATGTCCTTGTAGTCGAACAGGCCGTCGTGGCCTTCGTGGTTCCAGTCGGACGAGCTGAGCATCGTGCGTGCCTGCAATAGCAGCAGTCAGTAGTCGACAACAAAATATGACAAGTACCTGGACGCAGGCATATGCTATCATTGCAGGTGTGACTTTATATGTCTTGTGGAGGCGCGCATTGCAGTTTGCGGGCAACGGACCTTTCGGTGGCATCTTCGCGCGGCGTGGGGAGCACCAGATGTGGCGGAAAACCTTTCAACACATCAGTACCATTAAATGTCGGTGGTTAGACGTACAGTGAGTGGGAGACAGCCGCGAAGAAGCCCATCATCATATTTTCCTTCGTTGTAGTTGCTCCAGAGCATACTCGGAAGGCCTTCCCCGTACCGTCAAGTGGCGCCGGCGGATCTCATACGGTACGGCACCGTATGGCCGTAACCCGTACCGTAGACAGCCGTTATATGTCAATGGTTTACCTGGAAAAAGTTGGTAAGCACGGATTATTGTCCCCATTCAGCGGATTTCCTTACGAAACTTGTTTGACTGGCTCAAATAGGTCCCAATCTTGTCCCAATTACCTAAATAAGGTGGGACGGCGCCGGCGGCCCGTATCCGGGCTTCCCACGTCCGTCACCCGTCCCGTACAGGAAGGGACCAACACCGCCGACGGTACGGGTCCCGTACCGTAAATACGGCACCGTAGACCCGTCCATAGACGGGGACGGTTGGGAGCCCTATACAGATGGCGGAAGGGCAGCCGCATGAACGCCGCTGGGAGCGGCTCGGAGTCGGTGTAGAGCTTGTCCGTAACGGAGAGGAACACGTTCTCGAGGGCCGGCAGCTTGCCCAGGATGGCCAGGACGGACGCAGCGGGGAATATGCTGATCATGCTGCTCTTCACGCCGGCAGCCACGTTTGGACTGAGCTGGGGCAGCCGCTCGAACGGGAAGAGCAGCCCAAGGTTGTTGTCGCGCGTGATTTGACTGTCAAAAAGCAGCGGCTGGTACATCAGCGGCTCGATCCTGATGACTCGTAAACGCCTTGCGCGCATGCTTGAGACACGCACCATTCTTTCACCCGCCAAGCGACGAGCATGAGCCGCGGTATGCTCCCCCGATCCTGCGCAGCCGCAAGCTTGAAGATCACATATTCGAGCTCCGGCGGAAAGATCGCATCCGAGGAATGGTCGATATCAGACATGGTGGTTTCCCGCAAGCTTGTCACACAATCCAATCGGGATGTCACCCCGATTGTTGACAAATTGATCGCAATGAGTCATCGGACGTAAGTAATCATGATCGCACGATTTTCTTCCTCTCCTTCACGACACGTCACACCATTTCGATGCGGCGCTCCAACTCATATCTTCAAGGCAGTATTGGGGCATAATGCGGCCACATCGTGATCTTTCTTCTTGCTTTCTTCTTCTCGACGACGACCGACAAAACGCGCACTTGCTTCAATCTGCCCGTGAGCCGCCTGCCCAGCATTGAAGCCCCACGCTAGTGCCTCTTTGTCGTACGCTACTCATTGATTCGAACTACTCCTGTTAAGAAGGACTTTCGCTGGTTTCGAGAACCAGGTTTACGGACTTTAAGCCCGCCGACTGGCAGTATGATATGCAATGACCCCCAAGAACCTGGATACACACGAAGAACATCGTCAAGAACTACCTCCCTTCCCTTAAGATGGGCAAATAGTAAGGAGATACAAACGGCTTACCCGTTCCGCCTGCTTTCCGAGTCGGCCCTCGACGGACCCTGCTCGGCGCTCGCTGACGGCCAGCTGCTGACACACACACGTGCTCGGGCGCGCATCCGCGCATGGGCCAGAGTCGCGCGTGATGGCCGCCGCGGCTGCGGGGGAATGTATTCCAGGACACGCCAGCGCTCGTCAGGCAGCGTAAACAGCTTACGGTGGCTGCTCGACGTATAAAGGCTTCGACGTCGGGGGTGGTTTTGAAGATATGGCAGCAGTGGCATTTCCTGAGGGCGGTGCCCGGGCGTGGGCGACCGTGGGCGGCGCGTGCGTGCTGGAGTGTTGCGCTGTGAATGCCACTGATCTGGCGATAGGTGGTGCATCCAGTTTGTGGGCTTTGGCTACATGACTTCGTTTGGAGTCTATCAAGGCGCGTCGTCCTTTCTCTGTCATTCTTCGTTGTCACTCATGCTTTCTCTCAGATTTCTATACCCGAGATTATCTCTCCGCGCGCTCGCCATCGACGATCGCGTCCGTCATGCCCTGTCCTGCTCTCTGCCTTCATTGATGAAGTTATAGGTGGATTGGCAGTGTCAATGCCTTTCTAATTGTCTTTGGTGGATTGGTATCTGGACGGCTGTTCGACCGTGGCTACTTGTGTGTCCGCTCCCTCCTCTTCGCTAGTACTCTGACGCATTACTAGCTACCACCTACTCTATGGCGGCTGTGTCCTCCAATGCTTTAGTCTCTTCATGCTCTCGCTCTGCCGGCCGCAACAGCTCCACCAGATATTCCTCGCACAAGGCGTCGGAGTCGCCGTCGGCGCGGGCGTCGTCTACGTCCCGTCCGTTTCTGTTGTCTCTCACTACTTCCAGCGCAGACGCGCACTTGCACTGACAATTGTCGCGAGCGGGTCCTCACTCGGAGCAGTCATACACCCAATACTCCTCAACAATCTGCTGAAGACGCGCGGGTTTGCTGTCGCCGTTCGCGCGAGTGCAGGGCTCGTCTCGGGAATGGTGCTCATCGCGTGTCTGCTGATGCGCTCGCGCTTGCCGCCCCCGCTCAAGTCGGCGCCGCTGTGGGCATCGGTCAAGCGGCTCTCCGGGGACAGGGCGTTTGTGCTCGCCACCATCGGGTACCTTCTCGAACCTTGCGTTTCTCTCTGCTAATGCGGTTTGGAGGATGACACTGTTCACGATGGGGCCCAACTTCCCCATCTTCTACTTCCAGCTTGACGCGATCCAGCATGGCATCGACGAGGGCCTCGCGTTCTATGCCGTGAGCCACACCGTGACTTTCACCGGGTATTTTGAGTAACAATTCGCAAGCTCGTCATTATGAACTCTGCGGCTGTGCTCGGCCGTCTCTCGCCCGGCGTGCTGCTCCCGCAAATGGGCCAGTTCGGCATCGTGTACCTGGTCACCGGCGCCGCGTTTTGCGCGAGCATCTTGATCTTTGCGATGATTGCACTCAAAAGTGTCGCGAGTTTTGTCATCATCGGTGTCCTCTATGGGCTGTGCGCCGGGCTATGTGCGTCCTATTCTCCTGCTACATCTCCTGCTGGCGGCTGATGCAGACAGACATCACCCTCAGCCCGCCGCTCGTCGCGTTTTTGACGAAGGACATGGGCGAACTGGGGTATGTTTTCGTCCCAGCGGTTGGATGATACTGAGGACATTGGCCACCAGGCTCCGGATGGGCATCTTCTTCGCCGTCGTTGCCCTCGGCGGGCTCGTTGCGCCGCCAATCAGCGGCGCGCTCCTGACGGGCGGCTTCCGCTGGTGGCGCGCGGCGGTGTTCAGCGGTGTGCGTCTCTCATGCTGTCCCTGGTCGTCTTGGTGTTCACGACACGGTTCGCTGGCAGGTCATGGCATTTGCCGGCGCATGCGTCTTCGTGCTGCTCGTGGTTGCTGTTCGTAGAGATGCACGGAGCAAGCTGGACGCGGACACGGACACGGGAGGGGGGGAGAAGGCCCAGGAGCATGGCCTAGGGTCACTTTCGCGACCACTTGAAGTAGAAGGGCCTTAATTTGGCCTTGAAACCAACTTAAAACTAACACTGCGGACACAGTAAGTATACTATAGCGAGTCTAGACATGAACAATACTCGTAATAGATCGACCCTCCTCTCCGAGCTGTTTGTACTCTGAGACCTGCAGGCTTTTTTTCAGGCTTGGTTGGAGCCTCTTGCAGGGTAGCCTGCGTCGGGCGCCCGAGCCGCAATATTAATTAATCATGTCGGCCTCCGAGGTGGGCACGGGTTGAGCGGCTGCGGCCATGATGACGGCGGAAATAACGGAAATGGCGAGAGCGGTGCGCACTGCGCATGGCAGTGGGCTGACGTGAAAACCAATAACGCATTGACGCATAGTGTTGGTCCGGGAGCCTCGGAGAATGGAGCAGGACTTGCCTGGAGAATGCTACGTTCCTGCAACAAGCAATTTTATACCAAGGGCGAGTCGGGACTCTGGGAACGCTGGCGGAGCACTTTGACTGGCAATCAGAGACGTATTCACTACTAGTATCTTGAAGATAAGTTGCACGCTGTTATCTCAACAGGCTGTGTAATCTGAATCTTTTGTTAACTTTCAGCCACTGGCACAAGACAGATTATCGCCGCACGCGCTCGCCCATTGGTTGGAAGTCGTGCAACCAGTCCCACCGGCGGCCAGGGTCCTACTAGTAGCACGGCTCAGGTACCGTCGTGCTCGACGATCATGGGTTCAAGGTTCTCAGTTTCCACGGATCCATTTAGTTCTCAGGCCAGACTTCTATTTCTGCGTGTTTAATAATACAGGCCGACTACGTGTCCATATACATACGAAATAAGTAAGTCACAGCCACAACGAAAACGAAGGCGAGCCCAATTTGAAAAAGTACACCGATCGCCCCAAAATTTTTATGAGTACATTAAACGCAAAGAATGTGACAGAAAGAGTGTGGCAATATCATACAGGGAAGGAGGAAGGGACAGACGGAGGGCGTCAATAGATAACTTGTCAGGCAAATCCATAGCCCACCTGCTCCATAAGGTGCTGACTGTCTGCGAAGTAGTCGGTTTGGATTGAAGGGAATATGGTTGATGTGTCCGCCAAAATATCTCCGTAGGCATATGGTGCGGGGAGACCAGATTCCAAAGGACTCTCCGGCGGGCTTGAACATGAGAAGCTCGCCGGTCTTGGAGACAGCTCGTAATCAAGCCCCTGGCGAGCTAGTCCATCCAACGACGAGTCCCAAACGGTGCGATAAAACTCGTTCAGAATCGCCGTGTCTTGCTCAACCGGCGGTGCGTCTTGTGGTTGGCGCATCTGAGCCAGGATCGCAGCGACAATCGAATCCACCCCATTGCCTGCGGCAACATTATCCGTTGATGGGGGGACAGGAAGATCAATATGCCCAACCGCCGACCCGAAAGGATTCGGGAGGGCGCCGAGGTTGGCCAGGGAAGTGGGCAAAGGGAACGACTTGGAGTCGGAGCCTGAGGTGGGACCCGCATAAATAGCATAGAAAGTGTGAGCTGATCCATTGGCATCCGCGAGCTCAAGCTTGTAAGGGAATGTAGCCGGTGTGATTGCAGATAATGAGACGGTCGACGAGGAGTGGGCGGCCTCCGTTGACTCTGTAGCAGGCCCAAGGGTGATCTCTTCGTGCGGCGGCGAATCACGAGTAGGCGAAGGGGACTTAGATTGTCGCTCTGGACTCGACCCTTGAGGCTTTCGGCCGCGAGCACTGGCCAAAATGCTTGCATTGATGGCAGAAAGATTGCGCATCATGCGCTCGTTGAGAGGCTTGTCGTCCGGATCCGAATGCACCGTCTAGAGAAGGTCATCGATCATAGATAGGAAACAATATAGCAAGAACATACCTGAACATGCTGACGCAGATTATCGAGTCTTGAGAATTGCTTGTCGCAATGGCAAGTGAAGGGGCGCTCGCCCGTGTGTTTTCTACCGCAGATATGTGAGTGTGGAGCTTGACGAGCAGAATCGTTACACACCGAATGTGACGCGCGAGATGCTCACTACGGGTGAAGACCATTTTGCACTCTCCATAACCGGTGCAGTGGAACTTTGCAGCCGGTCGACGGTGTCGTCTGGGAGGAGTTGTGGGCTCTGAAGCAGAATCCGAGGCGTCCTCTAGAGATATGATGACCGGGGGCGACTGGAAAGCGGGGACTGCCAAATGGCATTCCTCAGAGAAGTGATAGGGTTGGAGGGCGAGCATGGCTTGGACTGAGGACCGACGACGGGGACGTCGACAAATTGAGAAGGGGAGGGGTACATGGGCGGCCGATATCACGTTTTATAGCGGGGCCAGAGTCGGGATAGTGTGGGTGAGAGAAATTACACCAGTCGATGCATATGCGTAATCCGCGGTTATGGTGGTTGTCGACAGAAGAAAAAGGAAGCACGTGCCGGAAGGGGCGCCGGTGTACGGCATCATTCTCATCTTCCCACGTCCGATCTGGACAGGCGATCGACGGGCGAATCGAGATCCGCGCAAATCGTACCATTTTTCTGGGTGCCCCAGGGATGCCCCTTCTGCGTCCTTCTGTCTGGGTCGCTGACTTGCCACTAGTGACGAAATGAAACAGCAAAACGGGAACACCGCCGGCCTCGGACCGGCGGCCGGTGAGCAACCGCACTGCCGGCTCCACTATGACACCGCGAAGCCCACGAATCGTCCGCTCAAAACTCGGCGATGGCAAGGTGGATCCTGGACGATGTTGTGGGCCCGCACGGCGTCTTACCGGGGCCTTGGGCATGTAAGTCGTCGAGGTGCCTTCATGACGACTGACACCAACTTCAAACAACCTGTTAGGCGCTTGATTATCGCTCGCTTTGGCGGAGTGCCCACCCAGGCTGTCCGGATGGGAGTTCCGTGTGATGAGCTAACAGAATTCCAGGTCTCTTCCGCCGCGGCCGCCAGGAGAAGCCTTGAATGCGATGTAGAAACGGCTCTGGATTTTGAGTCGCCATCTCAAGTTGGCGTTGACCTTTGATGTACTATTGGATATTGCGCTGGAGGATTACGGTGCTGATTGCCAGTGAGGAAACAGATGTATTGCCCCAACTGGACCCGAGGTACAGGGACGCGAGTCTGAAATAAGTGAGATAGATCACGATGGCGGTGGGCGGGAAAAGATGCGCCATAGATAAGAACCGTTTGCCGCCGATTAAATGAATACTACTAGTCTAAGACGCATAGTATCAGAGGACCCTACCGGAATTCCAGAAAGGTCATGAGTTGAGGGCTATGATAGTAAGGTCGCACATTTTATTGATGCGAACTTGAGTTTCAATGAGCACTGTACTAGTACCACATTAGATAAGAGTTGACTGTGCACATATTAGGCATAGAGACATACTGGATGAAGGGAAAGAGACAGAAGCAAATATTGCATGCGTTGACGACGGCTGCACGACGCGCGACGTGACGCGGTCATGTGAGCTAATGACAGTGCCCTCGGCCATGGATCGGGGTCGTACGTTACCTTGCAGATATTATACAGAGATACCGTATCCACGGATGTGGAGTGGTGCGCTGGGAGAAACGAAAGAAAGGGTTTACGTCGATGGAAACTTGGAAGCACCGGTTCTGATGCGGCTTCAAGTTTAGACCTAATCAAGAATTTTTGGGGGTTCTGAATAGTGCTTGCGACTCAACAGACCGTAGCCAGCGCTGGTCAGCGCCCAAGGATGAGCGCCAGACAATCGAGTTGGCAGGACATTGTTGGAAATCGTTCCCATAAGTTGTCCGCGCAGAATCCGCTCAATCGTAATTTCGAACCAGGGACGGAGACGGCCTCAAATAGAACTTTATTGGAGCTCTGCCATGGATTCGGGCCAGGGCGGAGGCTCATACCACGGTAACACGCCCATCATAACAGCCCGATGGAGTGGTAAATTGACGGCCGAATGCAAACAAGACCCGTACCCATGGACAAGCGACATATCCATTAGTTCGGCATCGAGGTACAACCCACGGGCTTGGGACACTGAAGCCGATCGCCAAGCGGAAGTTGCCAAACGCTGCCGTTAATGCTTGACGTCTGGCCGCAAATGGTAAGAAGAAGGCTTAAAGTGGAATGACAGACGAATATGCTGTTTTTAGCCGCAAAAGAAGTGATTGAGGCAAGATTGAGGCTTGTCGTGTGGGATGACGCAGAAGAGTCGCTAGGTACACTCCACGCCGCCGCCGGCCTCGCGGTGTTAACAAGGCTGTTATGGTTGGCAGTATCCGAGCTTGAATTGCCAACAGCCTGAAATACTTTCATGAGAGTTATCGAGGCTTGACATGGAGTAGGACTGGGAACGCAACTGAATGTCGAGGTCGTAAGCTCCCACCCGTTCTGATTGGTTAACATGTGAGACAGTGCATCAGATTATGATGAGAACCTCGAGGCGCAACTTGGAATCTATGGGTTGGGCTTGGCTTTCGGATCCAGAAGATGGAAGCGCATGGACCTTGACGAGCGCGGGATGCGCGCACTAAATGCAGAAGTGCCCCATAAGTCATTCAAGTCACTGTTGTTTGAGCGACTAGCCGCAATGGGCGACTTACCCGACAGCACAGACGCCTCAGAAGGAGTACCCTCTATACAGTCATACCAGCCTCGTGGGGATCGCGGACCCACCACAAGGAATAACGACGCTAGCAACAAGTTTGAAGAAAACACGAGTGATGGCCCTCAAGATGTACTCGAGCAGCGAATGTGGGTTGATGTCCGAGTCGGAGATGTTGATGAAACACCAAGATGCCGATATCGAGTATGCGGACTATGGCCGACCACGAGTACATAGTTGCAGGAAGGTTGCCAATATCAAGTGTCTGGACCAACGGCACAAGCGGAAACGCACCGATATTTCGCGTTCACCCGCCGGCGCGAAACCCGTCTTCCGCTGAATGGAACCAACCCGTGGTTCAGTGGAACGAAGCTGTCGAGATACCGCCTGCCGAATGGGATCGTCGTGGGCAACAGCGTAGACAAAACCCAAGCGAAGTCCGAAATACCTGGCATCGCGGATGTTGAGTATCAAGACAACGGTCAGTCACTAGCGGAAGTGTGCGAACATCAGGGATACGAGCAAAATCTGGACCAGACGGGCCGGAATTTCTCGTTGGCAAGTAAGCACAAATGCTTATCTCGATGTTCCGGCTTTGTGCAGCGTGCTTGCAGATCACCACTTCCTAGACATCGAGACTTGAGAGCCGCCGAAAGTCCATGCCTTCCTGCCAGTGGATTGGATAATGCAAGTCGAGAGCCTGGGCAAGTCCCTGAAATCTCGTCAGCTTCTCGTTGCTTTTTACGATTGGACAGGATACCCGCGCAAAATTTCGATTATAACCACAGATGGGCCTAGGTTCTTTGGACACCGCCCCGGAAATGGCAATTGCAGAGGTGGAGCGATGCCGAATATTGCGAAAAGATAGTTGCGCCCGTCGCAAACAAAAGGAAGGAGTGATTTGAATGAATTCAAGAGCAGTTTGATACTAAGCAACATGCTCGACGGATGGCAGTGCCTTCGCAAAAAAGTCATAAACGCCGCGAAAAAAAATCAACAATGGATTCAGCGATCATGGGACAACTACTGCCCGAGGTCGAGTCCCGAGAAACGTGGATAAGGAGTTGAAAGGCTTGGGCGGGCGATGCGTAACCGATGGTAAATGCGAAAAAGAAATAAAGCGCAGCCAGCGCGACATGGCGGGATTGTAATTGTAGGAGGATTTGTATGGCATGTGTCGACATTGTTCGGGTCGGTGAATACAGATGACTTCGTGGAAGAGTGTGTGTGAAAGGAAGGCCGCAGAAAAATGGAGGAGGCCTCTTTTGTCTTTGGAGCCGCCAGAGAAAGCAATGGGTTTGCCTCCGGCGATATCCCCTCGTAAAGACGTAGAAACGGGGAGCAGATGGTTCAAACGAGATGTGAACGTTTCCGGACGGTGTAGCTAACGAGACATATCCGTGATCGAGTCCCTTCCAGATGCGTTGCTGAATGAGAGGAGCGACATCGCAGGGTACCCGGCGTTGGACTCGCTTTTGAGTCCGTACCTGGAAGACGTAGGAAAGCACGCGCTGCAGCTCGCGGATGACTCTCTGAGAAGCCGGCAAGAGTGTTGCTAAGGAGGATCCGGGTGGGTGTGGGTAGGTGAAAACCGAGTAGTGGAGTTCTGGTCGGGAGTTCTGGTCGGGAGAGAATAGTAAGCGAAATACTACGGACAAGAGTCGGTTAAAACGCACCAAGTTCCACCTCCAGGACATCCCGCCGCGTCTATTCCTTCGCCTCCTTCCAAGTTCAAGTCGGTCAATGTGTGTAGGTTCCTTGCTCGCGCCGACAAGCAAGGACGAGTCTGGACTCTGGAACGGTATTGAGTGGTGAATGAATGATGGGTGAAAAGTATAGTGCTGACCGTGAGTGCATTGCGAATGGGATGTGTGTATTGTGGATCTGGGCGAATGCGAGAAAACAGGCATTCGGTCCGACATGGCCGTCGGGAAGAGGGGAGTGTCACGGCGTCACGGTGACGCTCATGACGCAACTTCCGCCACTCTGTCGTTCCGCCATTTGACGCTACGTTGATTCTCAATTCTCTCACCGGTGACCGATGCCAGTGGCTGTAGATGGTGCTCACAGTCGTCGTCAATGACTACCCGGGTGACCAGCGACAACGGCTCGATTCTGTCATTGTGATTCTGTTGCTGGATTTCTGGCAGAGTCACTCTATGACGTGAATGCTCCTCGGCAGCCGTCCACCAGAAGGAAAAGAAGCGAACACGATCCATGACGCTCATCCCCAAATCCGCTTCATCGACTCGGACTTCGCTGCTGCAAAACGTTTTACAGCCCCAATTCCTGGCTCCTCAGGCTCCCGCGCTTTCGCCCTAGGCTGCCGCGCCCGCCCTCCCCTCCCTAGCCCGCCAGGAGCCGAAGCAGAACGAAAACCTCCAGCCAGGGCCAGCTGCAGGTACGCCGACACTTGCGTGCTAGTCCGCTCTGCTCTGGAGCGGAGGAATATACCGACTAACCGATGTCGCACAAACACTGTACCCTTTACCCTTTGGCCATTGGTACGACCAACAACTCGCTGTCTGCGCCAGTGACGCGTCTGCCTGTGACGGGCCGATTGTCCAGTTCCTGGTTGCAAGTGCTTCGCGACTCCACCCCAAATGCAGACACTCGTCTGACACAGCTGCGTCTTGCTACGCGCCAAGCCGCTTCCGAGTCCTGCCGTCCATTTTGGGTAATAAGGAGGCCAATCACGATGCGCTACAAATGCGCTATACAGACCAAATACAGACGCGACGGGCGACATATTTTGGCGACATTGATGATGATGCGCATTTAGCTCAGCGCTATCGGCCTTCATTGCCGCTGTCCATCGCTATAGCTCAGCGGAGTCAGCGCTGAGAAGTCAGCACCGGCCATGCGGAGCCCGATACTGAATGCGCTTCAAACCGGAAGAAACGTTCACCAACCGTCTTCTGGAACGAGTCGGGCGCCAGCGACTTTGGACATCGAGAGCCGAGTGCGGAGCCCGGGACGGTCTCCGACGCTGACGAGCCTGAGAAAGGACCACCCTGACGACCATTTCAAGATTTGCCAAGAATCGGACCCAAATTTACCTCCGGTGTGCCCCTACCTGCCCGCGGCAACAAAAAAGACACCAAATCGTTTGCGTAGACGCGTACGCGTGGATCCCGAAATCACCTGCACCTGCCGATGTCGTCACGCGAGCCGTTTCTGCGCAGGAGCCAAGCTGCCAGCGACTGATGCCCAGCTCCTATGCCTCAATTATTTGCGGACGCGAACGCGCAATTAAAAACCAGGGGTACAACCCTGGGAGCGCGCAAACTTGGTGCGGTAAGGGCGCGCGAGACATATAAGCTGCAGAGTAATGGTGGAAGGAGTCGAAGCCCCAGCTCGCCCTGTCTCCCGCAATGGCCTTCCTCGCCCGCCTCGCTACCCTTCTCCCTTTAGCACTTCTCGCTGCGCGTATTCGCGCCGCGGATGTCTATGTCGACTTACCGGTTTGCAAAATACTGCTCTGTCGATTTTTTCGCTGACCGTTTGGAAGGTGACCAACGTTAACGTTGCCCCAGACGGCTTCTCTCGGGCCACAATCCAGGCGGGGGCTTTCCCGGGCAAGCTCATAACCTGCAACAAGGGCGACACCCTCCATATCAATGTCACCAACTCTCTTGTCGACCCGACGATGCGACGCAGCACATCCATTGTATGCCCTCCTCCGCCCGACGTTGTCGCTGATGTGTATTTTTGCAGCACTGGCACGGAATATTCCAAAGCCGCACCTCCAGCGAGGACGGCCCGTCGTTCGTCAACCAATGTGAGCATTCCATTCCGCCCTTCGTTAACGTTGTCGGTGTCTCACGGGCGCCGCAGGCCCGATCCCGCCCGGAATGTTCTACCGTGCGTCCTCCACTTCAACAGCTGTTGTTTTGGCCTCAATCTGACATCTGCCTCGGGCAGAATACAACTTTCCCGTGCTCGACCAGACCGGCACTTACTGGTACCACTCGCATCTGTCCACCCAGTACATCGACGGCGAACGCGGCACGCTCGTGATTTGTCTGTTCTTCTGCCGAACATATCATTACCGTGCTGATTTCCGCCAGACGACCCGAATGATCCGCATAAGGGCTTATACGACATCGACAACGCAGGGACAGTGATCACACTTGCGGACTGGTACCACGCGCCGGCTGAAGCGCTTATGGAGCAGTTTGTGCGCGACGGACACGAGCCTGTGCCGGACTCTGGGCTGATCAACGGGGTCGGGGTGCGTGATAGCCAGCTTTCACGTACTAATGAGATTGACCGCCGCAACAGCGCTACAAAGGCGGCCCGGCAGTGCCGTGGGCGGTCATCTCCGTCGTCCAGGGCAAGCGGTACCGCTTCCGGGTTGTCAACATTGCCGGCTTCGCCGCGTTCACCTTCTCCATCGATAACCACCAATTCCAAGTCATCGAGACAGACGGCATCCTCACGGTTCCGCTCACGACCAGCTCCTTCGAAATCCATGCCGGTACGCCCTCTCTTTTTGACCTCGGTATGGTGTTGATGATGTGTTGATAGCTCAGCGCTACAGCATCGTGCTGAATGCCAACCAGCCTGTGAGCAACTACTGGGTCCGTGCCCCAATGGAGGTCGCTGGTTCGAGCAGCACGCGTGAGTCCCGTCTCTTGGGACATTGCCTTTTGCTCACGTAGATGTAGTCGACAAGGACAACGTCAAGGCAATCTTGCGGTACACCGGCGCGCCGATCCGGGACCCAACGACGAGCTCGAAGCTGGCTGCGGATCTAGTTGAGGCGAAGAGCGGCGGACAGATGATGGAGGAGTACCAGCTGCAGGTGCGTCGACTAACATTGCATTGAATGCAGCTGAGCTCTGGCTAAAGACCCTCATCAATCCCGGCGCGCCAGGGGGCAGCGGGCCGGCGGACCATGTGATCGATTTGACCTTCGGCACCGTGAGTGTTGCTTTTCTTTCCGATGTAAACCCTCAACTCGTGTGTGCAGCTTGGTAGCGGCATCTGGGACATCAACGGCATTGCCTACGCCTCTCCACGGCTGCCAACTCTCCTCCAAATCATCAATGGCGCGACGAACGCGTCGGACTTCACCACCTCGGAGCACACGATCATCCTGAAGCCGGACGAGGTAGTCGAGCTTCGCATCCAGGGCTCAAACCACGGCATAACGCACCCGTTCCATCTCCACGGCCACGTATTCGACGTCGTCAAGGGCATCTCCGGGCCAACCAACTACGTCAATCCGTGAGTCCATCTCCGACACCGCAGACAAATTCGCTGACAAACCGGCAGCCCGCGCCGGGACGTTGTCGGCGTCGACGGGGGAGGCGTCATCATCCGCTTCCGCGCGGACAACCCCGGGCCGTGGTTCCTCCACTGCCACATCGACTGGCATCTCGAGGCGGGACTTGCGGTCGTGTTTGCTGAGGATCCCGCGGGAATCCGCTCGGGGCCCAAGTCCAACATCATCCCGGCCCCGTGGCGAAACCTGTGTCCCGCGTACTATGCGCTCGCGCCAGAGTTCCAATAGAGCAGTATTTTTTCTTCCTTACATTAGTGGTTGTCGTATAAAGAATGAAGAAAGTCATATTTAGCAGCCGTGCCATCTGTGCCGGATTTTCGATGCGCGTGTACCCGTTGTCAGTGCGATTGAGAATGCGGCGTCCAGCGTGGGCGTCGGCAGCCCGGAACTGCTGTCCATTGTCAGATCCAAGTCCTGCAGTGTCGGGCAGCGGGCAGCGATTGCCAAGGCGTGCAAGCTTAGCCCGCTACCTGGGAATGGACGTAGCTGGCCAAGGTGGAGCCGCTTGAGGTCGGGTAGTTGAACAAGAAACTCGGTAGATGTGCCGTCGTCAAGGTCGAACCCGCCAGGTGCGTTCAGCTGGTCAGGCTGGGGAAGCAGCCCAAGTTGGCCATGGCCGTTCCGGTGACCTGCCAATCTCCTGCCCAGGCCTCCTCTTCCTTGTAGGGAATACTGCCGAAGAAGAAGCGGTGTAATGAATGCGCCGCGGGGAAGCGCTGACGTGCCAAGGGCGGAGAAGACGGCCGACACGAGTTCGGTAGTCGTTGAATAATCTGCGGGATCAAACAATATGAGCCGAAGGGGCGAAGCAGCAATCGCCGGGAGAAGTCTGAGGACTTCATTTAAACTGACGTTGGTCAATCCGAGGTGTTCTAGCGCAGGGAAGAACAGCCAGAAGGTAAGCTTGACCAGATGCAGGAGCGAACCCAGATAGGTGAACAGTTGCTGATCCACAGGCGACGAGAGCTTGAGGCGTTCTAGGCGACCTCAGGCTGGGGACCGGTCACCGCAAGAATACAGCAACTTTTGACCGCGTTCTACATGGACTGCTGCGTCTCGACAAAGTCAAGTCACGGATGGGCAGATTGCGGGCGGTTATGTGCGGGATAAAGGATAGCGAAATCGCGCCGAGCACGCGCAGCTCTCATCTGCTGAGTTGCGGCCCCAGCAAGGAACGGAGGAGATTTATGACTTTGGGTTTATCCCCATCTTCAAGTTTGGCCCAATCAATGCCAATCATTGGGCCAAAGATGGCCCCAATGCGAATAAGAGTCTTCTATGCTCCATGTGAGGCTCTTGAGGGAAGGGAATATGCAGTCCCATGGTAGCCAAGCCGATTATAAGTGCCAATGTCCCTTGGCAGTCGTTCCCCGCTGGGCTCATGGGTGAACTCTTCGACCAGCCGAAAGTAACGCTCTGGGCGCTCGAAGTCGGGGAGCTCGAAAGACCGCGATTGAATCTACAAAGTCGCAGCGTTAATGTCTAGCGGAAGCCAAGTATACGCGGTGCTGACCACTCCCATTCCGTTTTCCGCCGTCTCCGAGCCTGAGACTTCGACCAAAATTACCAAATCGTGGGGGAAGCAGCGCAACAGATTCAGAAGTGGCTTGTCGTTGAATATCCCGTCGCGCCAGAGTTCTTCGAGTGCAAAGCCGGAAAAGAGCCGACATGTACGCGCCAGACGTGCAAGGTCGGCGGCACTAGAGTAGTCTCCTGACGTGCTGAGACTGGCAAGTTGCTGCACTACTTGGAGGGCTATTTCGGGAGTCGCAAGACAGTGATGCGTTCCACAGGCAAAGAAACGCGTCCAACGTATGCTGTCGAACACAGAGCGACACGAGCGCGTAAGACAAGTCTCGAGAAGTGTGATCATGATCGATCACATTTTTCCTTCTCTTCTCTAAATCACTACCACTCTTCCCGCTTCCCTCGTCTGCAACGCACCGTTCGCTCAGAGGGAGCAACGGATTATACCGAGAATGTGGTCCCTGGGTGTACTTTCCATACACTAGCTTCACTGACTCGCTTGCAAAGCTTGCGCGCTATTGGGCTGCAACCGATTACGAAGCTGAGAGCTCAAGTTTGGCTCAAGTAAGCCCCGCATAGCGGAAAGGTGGTCGAAGGGGCGGTTCCATATGCAGTGGGACAAGATTGAGGTGCGTAACAGTCGTCTTCTCGCCCGCATTGTCTAATTTTGCCCCACCCAGTTTTTTTCCCTCCCATCCTCATATACACCCTCCGCAACAGGCGGTTTCCGCGTGTGCGATGACAACGACAAGAGAGCTTCTGTAGGCCATGCCATCGCCGTTTGCGTGTAGCTCCTACCAGCTCACGCTTCGGCTAGCTGCGCTCGAGGGGGCATTCCGAAGACAAGCTGAAGACGGTCGACAGGCGTCCTCCACCCAAAGCCCAGCGAACGTCAGCATTCGTTTCGCTCGTCTCTCCCCCAATTCCAATGTCCCTCCGCCTTACTCTTGAATTTATACCCAGCAACCACAATTGCCGACCCAAATGTCTCTTCCGCTCCCACTGCGCCTCGTCTCATACACTTTCTCCCTCTACCTCCCGTGCCCGCGCATGCGTTTCCCTCTCCCAACCATGCCGCAATCGTGCACCCTTCCCAAAATGGCAAGTGGCGCGCCACCGAGCGAAAAACTACAATGCCACTAAGAACCACGACACATATGGCGACCGTATCCCGCACTGACGGACACCGAAGGCTCCCCACTCAACATTTTTCGCGCGGGCATAGCCGAGAGGAAGACGGTCATTGGACGCGTTTTCTTTAGACCTTGGCGCTATCGAGCTGGAAAAAGGGAGATGCTTTGCCGACACGACGCATTCCCCGCCGCTTACAACCCCTCTTGCTTTAACGCTCAATCCCTCTCATTTGTCGGCGAAATCTGACTCCTAATACACCCTCTATGCTGTCTACTCTATCGCTACCTACATGGTCAAAACCCATTCCGCACTCTGCATTCGTACCGTTTTATTTTACCCCTCTCCTCCACATAAATTATAAGTAATTCCACTCTCCCCCATTGTCAATTCAAAAAAAAAAAAAAAAAATTACCGCACAACTCAATCTCTGATAAAATGGTCGGCCAGTGTTCGGTCCAGCTCTCCGCGGATGGCCTTCACTCGCGCTATCCACGCTGGAAACCTCTCTGCACAGCAAAACACGTCGGGATTCGTCGCGCCGCCCAGATTCGCCTCCTCGAGGAAGCCACGCAGATCGGGGCCGTACTTGTGCGCCAGGAATGCAGTGTATTGCTGGCTGTCCCGACACGGCCCAGGTCGATCGCTGACAGGACAGCTGCCAATCGCCCACAAGTCCTGCGCCACGCGGCGAGTGCAAGAGAAGAGGGAAATGTAGCCGCGAAGGAGACGGTGCTCGTGTTTCTCGCCGAGCCCTTCGGCAGTGACATTAAGGGCTGTGGGCGGCGCACTGGTGACGGCGGCAGCAACGACCGTGGGGCCGGTGCAAAATTTGCTGCAGAGTACCCTGTAGTACAGCTCGCCGAGGAGCCGCCGGAAGCCGTTCGCCTCCGCGATATCGAGCGCGTCGCGGACCGAAATCACGGCGCCTCGTGATGGCCAAGTCCGGTTCGGTCCGGTTCTTGGCCCTTTTCGGCCGAACGCCGGACCGCCGGTTCGGTTCAAAACGGGATTTTGCCGAACGTGAACGCCGAACGTCGGTTCGAACCGGCCCCGAACCGGCGTTTTTGGACCGAAAACGGCTGAACCTGGCCGAACCGAGGGCCAGGTTCGGTTCGGAAACGGCCTTGGCCGAACCTGAACGCCGAACGCGCGTTCAGTCCGGTCCGGTTCGGGTTCGAACCGAAATCCCGAACCGGACCTGGCCATCACTAACGGCGCCGCTGGAAACAAGGTGCAGCCAGGTTGCTTCCAGACGTCGTATGAGGATTTCTCCGTCCGTCTCATACCACCACCGCCAACTGGATAGAAGTCCTCTTCGGCTACGATTGTGTATGAAACGAAGGATGATGATGCAGAGATGTGCTGGTAATTCATCGAGTGGGAGAACTTCCTTCTCGCCCCACGCGAAGTGGCAAAGGACATACCCGATGTTCGCGAGTGTCCAGCCTGCCATATCGCGGAGCCCATATTTCTCAGCAAAGTCGTGGGCTTTCATGAACGCCTCCAGGTCGATGGCCTTTACTTGATAGGTAAGCTGAAGTCTGCGCCTGGAACGTGTTCTCAGTATTCATGCAGCAAGACGCAGACAATCCGGCTTGCCTTCCGTACACCAAATCCAAAAAGGCCTCAAGACTGCCGCCGTCCTCATCATCCAACACGAGCGGGCTATGCTCGCTGGCCGATTCGCGGTCCGTAAAGACCGAACGATCATAGTCCGGGACGAGATAATGCTTGTGCACCTGAAAAATCAGTCGGCACAAAGCATTGAAAAGCAAAGGCAGAGCGGCTGACTTTGTAGAGCGTAGATTTCACGCGTAGGACAACTTTTCCGTCTTGCCTGAAAAACCGAGGATGGCGCAGCATCTCCCCGGTGGAGTCTACTAAAGAGTCAGAATGATAAGAGAGGACGTGTGTGGATTGAAGGAAAAACTCGCCGCGACGCCGTTTGCCGAAAGGGAGCAACAAGTTGGCAAACACTAGTACTTGAAGCCATCCACTTAGATTGAGAAGCGCGATGAGCGACAGGACGATGTGCATGAAGGAGCTTGAAATGTTGGTATCAGACGCATCGTGGTCCAGGCTTTGCTTGTCCGAGTCGAGGTTAACGATGCCCTGGTTATCCTCAGTTTCAGATGCCGCAGACTCCGAGTCATCTTGTGCAGGGGTGGCGGGAATCTGACTCGTCGCAGTCAGCCTTGGAACATCGAGTTCGGTGGGTGATGGATGGCTAATGCTTCCCGTAAGAGTGGGTTGAACATCGTTTTGAGCCCGCAGGGATTGGAAGAAGGCGTCTAAGACCTCACGAGGCGTCATGTCCGGCTTCTCATCTGTCGTTCGTCAACGTTGGATAAAACAGTGGCACAAAGTGTATAGGACGCACCCGGTGGCGAGCTTGCCTCGCTTTCTACGCACAACGTCTGCGAATCCGAGTTCGAGTCTTCACAGCTCGCCTCTGACTCGCTTCCACGACTAGTATCAATAGTTGTCGCAGTAGTACTAGCATTAGCCTGCGCGTTGTCGGGGACTAGGGCTCCAACTATTTAGTTTTCATTTACACCGCCAGGTAAACTAAATGGAAATGGTAAGAAAATGTTTAGTAAAGATTTATTACCATTTAAAAACGGTTAAAAATGGTAATATAATAATATAAAATGATCAACAATTTCATGGCACATACTTGAGTTTATGTGAAAGGAAGGCAATATATTGGTCTGGTACAACGAGAGAAGGGTTGATAATGAGTACATGAATGTTAGTAAATAGGAGTCATACCTGGTACAACGAGAGAAGGGTTGGAAGCCCCTCTCGTTGACCAGGTTCCAGTCGTAGTCAGATCGGTATTGAGATAAGATGTGATCAAGAGATAATGGGAAGACTCGCGTCATTCTCCGACACCCCCCCTTGACGCGAGTCCAGCTTTAGCATCTTTACCCAGCGTGCGTGTATTGTGCGGTGCAAAGGTTTCGTGAAAAGGTCAGCAACATTGTTGTTGCCTGCTACGTGCATAACATCGACGAGGCGGTTCAGCACGCAATCGCGGATGAAGTGTTCGCGAATGGCAATATGTTTCATTTTTGAATGTGAATGTGGATCATGGGTGCAGGCGACCGTTCCTTGATTATCGCAGAAGATGGTCGTTGGTTGGCGTTGTGGGAATCCGAGCTCGTTCATGATGTTTCGGAACCAGAGGACATCCTTCGCACAGTGTGTGGTCGCGAGGTATTCGGCTTCGCAGGGAGGAAAGAGCCACAACAGCTTGTTGCTTTGAGCTCCACGACACCGGGGGGCCACCATAAATTGGCGATTCACCGCTTCTAGCGCTTCTTTTGGCGCTGCATCGACGCATTATCTCCGCGGTTGGCGCTGCATTACGACATCTTGGCGCACCCATCAGATTGATGTCACGCGTGGATTTTTTTTTGACTCTGGACCACCATCATCAACTGGTTCCCTACTTCATCGACACTCTAGTCTCTGGACAATCACCATTCTTGACTGGACAACTACCATCTCGCCTCCGCTGGCGCCCGACTCCGACGGCTCTACTCGCAGGCTCCGCTTCGAGAGTTTCCTCACGGCTTGTTACGGCTCATGGTCTTGCGGCAGCTTGACCGCCACGACTGTTGTGTCTGGGGACTTTGCGCAGGCTGTCTACAAACAAACACCAGTGCGATACGTACAGGGCCCCGTGGAGCACTCTTGTTCTGTGTTCGAATCGCCGTGGTTCACCGTTCGGCTACGGCTCGGGGATATATACAGCATCTAAACGTTGAGGCAACGTTGGCTTGAATGGGCGCTATGCACAGTCATGACCCGGTACTGCGTTGTAAGCTTGTGCAGCTGGTGGACCGGCGGGGGTGGCACTCGTCCCGCTCGTCGTCAATACGCCGGCACGCGCGCTGGCCGAGCTACAGTTCCATGTGCGGCTCGCCGGCGCTTCCCGCGCAGCCCGCTGCCGCGGGCGGGCTATGGCGCTGGGTTCGACCCGGGGTTGGCTGATGCAGAGGACGATGGCAGCGATGCGGGGCCCTTCTTGCTGCCGATGGCGCTGATGACAATGCGGACGCGCATACTGCGGTATATCTCCCTCTTGCGAGCCTTACTAGTAGCGGGTGCTGACCTGCGCTTGGACCAGGACCATTAATCTTTCAAGCAGCGCGTTTGACCGCGCCTCGTCTTTCTTCCCCATGCCCATGACCTTCGCCACTCTCCGACGTCTTTGCTTTCTGTCTCACATTCCAGCCCGACCTCCATACATCCCTGCACAGCAGCCCCCGCCAAACGCGCGTGACAGCGCATCCCTTCGTCAGATCGCCTCCGCTCTCTGGCGGGTATCCGAAGAAACAGGCTCACAGGAAGGGACACAGGATTCCTCCTAAATGTGCGTCGCGTGAACATCGGCGCCATTCTACATCGCCGCCGTCCGGCTGCCGGTGCTCTCGATAACGCTCTGAGCGTACGTCGGCAGGCATGGAGGTGGGATGGGGATCCGGGCAGTCTGGACTCTGCAGGGACTGGACCCGGGCCAGCGCAGCATTCGGGTCCACCAGATCCGAGGACGCGATAGCGTGAGCTGTCGGCGTTCCGCGTTTAGCGGCCAGCAGGCCTCCGGTGGCGCCATCGTCGTCCGCAACAATCGACTGGTAATAGGCATCATACTGCTGGTGGGATTGGGCAGGCACCCAACCTGTCAACGTTGCTTCGAAGTTCGCAGGCTCCCCGGATGAAATTCAGAGTTAGAACTCCATGTAACTACCGAAAATTCCACAATAGTATTTACTGTCATTGATCAATTGCAGCATTCAGGTTTTCCAGTAGAGCCAACTTGAAGTTAGCGCCATGCACAGTGATGCACTGCCGGAATGTTGGCGCTGCGCCATGGAATATTGGCGCAGCAACATCTGATACTAGCGCTTCAGTCATGTCATGCTGGCGCTGCTTTGTTCCGTCGTACTGACGCTGCTGTGACGCCGCATTGGCGCTGCACGTCACACACTTGACGCTGCATGTCACAAATCTGGCGCTGCAGGGTGACATGTAAGTCAC